CAGTGGGCGAAACCGGAGTGATACCTAAGGCAGAGCCAGCAAACCTATTGCTTAAGGGCCGAGACCCTCCCGAAGACGGTTTTTGTGCAGCCCAGGGGCTGAGAACGGTTTTGACATTTTTAAAAGGGTCATAAAACAAAACAAAGAAAAATAGACATCGGAGACCGCACGTGGCCTGCAAAGCCAAAAATATTTACTATCTAGCGTTTTACAGAAAACGTTTGCTGACCCTTGTTCTAAGGAGATGCCAAGAATGTGCTTCTGGAGTTACTTTTAGTCTGCAATGTGTTTGGCCTGAACCCGTGTTCGAACCTGAGGACACTGCGGGACTCAGCCCCGTCAAGACCCTCTGTGAGCCACCTCGGGCCACAGGCGCACGTGGGGTTCTTTGTCCAAGCTGCACCTCTGTTGACTCATGCTTGCTTACGTGACACTTTTCCTAGGTGTTTTCCTACGTATCGATCAGAGGGCTTCGCGATGGAATCCATCTGGATTCTAGTTGAAACACTCAAAATGCAACCTGATTACTTCTCTTCCATCTTTCGTTAAATGTGGGAAAGTTTGGTCATCGTTTCTTCAGTGATTACTTTGTTTCCTTCTTTTCTCCTGCTCCTGTGACTTCAATTACACTCGGATTAGACTGCTTCCTATTGCACCACAGGTCACCTAGTCTCTGTCATTGTCAACGACCTTTGCTTTCCATCGTCCAGAACGGATAACTACAGTCTTCTATCTTCAAGTTCACCGGTCTTTTTTTCATCATCTCCAATCTGCTATTAGACCCACGGAGTGATTTTTTTTTTTTTTTAATTTTCAGATATTGTCATTTTCGGACCTAAAATCTGGCTCTTTTTCAAAGTGTTTCATCTTTTCTGCTTAGATTTCCCACGTGCTCGTTGATTATGACCATATTTTTCCTTATGTCTCCAAGCATCGTTCTAATAGCTGCTTTGAAATTCTTGTCTGCTAACCCCAACATGTCATCTAGAAGTCAGTTTTCATTAATTGCCTTCTCTCATGAGTATGGGTCACATTTTTCTGTTTCTTTGTATGTCTAATAATTTCAGATTTATCCTGAACATTGTGAATGCCATGTTGATTGACAGTGGTGCTGTTCAACAGACACAAAGTGTGAACCACATATGTAATTTTAATTTTTTACTATCCATATTAAAAAAGAAACAGGTAAAATTTTGATTGTAGTAACACTGTTTTTGACCACTGTATCCAAATATTATTTCAACTTGTAATCAATAATAAACATTAACATATTTTACAATCCCTTCCCATACTAAATCTTTGAAATCTGGTATTTTATATTTACAACACTTCTCTATTTGGACAATCTAGTGGTTAGCACATTGATCGGCACAGCTGTAGAGTATCATTCTAGAAAAACACTGAAGGCGGGCCCAGTACAAGCTCCATCATTATGGAAAGCGAAATCCTGACAGTTTTTAAACTTTACTCCTTGGTGTTCTGCCTGGTGCCTTGGCCTGCAGAGAGATGAGGGGGCTGCTGATCACCCTGGGCTGCTCTTTCCCATGAAATATGTGTCTCAACTCAATGAAAGCAGCTCTGATTTCATGTTTCATGTATTTGGTTTCTGTGCATAATTAAAAAAATATTTTGATACTAAAAAAAAAAAACATAAATGACTTTAAAATATTATTCTTGAACGGATCCCTAATCATGTCCATGCTGACCTTTCCTTCTCTTGATTCACCTACCCTACTTTCTAATCACGTCACAAAAGCCAGGCCATCTCTGCTTTCAGGAGAAGAGACGGTGGCCTGTCCGATCTTTGAGTCTACACAGTGGCAAGTCCTTCCTTCTTTGGCCCCGTGTGTGATTGATTGATTGATTGATCGATTGATTGATCGATCGATTGATGGGTTTGTGGGATGGCTGCTCATATTCAAGATGCTCAGGAAGACTTCCTAAAGTGAGCTGTTCCTCAAGGCCTTCAGCCTTAGGGTACAATTTCATAATTTGCCAAGAAACACATAAGATCAATGAAACGAGTCTCGCCTTCTCGCTTTCCTGCTCGTCTTTCGTCCCTAACACACGTTTTACCAGTTCGACAAATCAAAGGACGTTGCCACAAAAACCAAACGCTTTGTGAAATGTTTTGCACCAGGCAAGTGACACGAGTTGAGCTTAAGAACCCCCAAAACTGCCACGTCACAAGTGCAGCGTCTTTACAAAAGGTAAACGTACCTCGACCGGATACACAGAACAACAGAACAAAACCAAGCACCTCAACCCAGAGCAGAACAGGAGGCTGGGGCGAAATCACACAATGCGACAGAGTCATACAGTTCCATGCAAAAGCCTGCGAAAACGTGACCGGAAATAAGGCGGCTTAACTGGTGAGCACGTTTCCCATAGTTCGTCTTGGCTGACGGCCCAAGAGAATCCACTTCGGAGCACGTGAGTACAACATGGCTGTGAAAGGTCTGATGGATCCCAAACAGCGAACAGCAAGACACACACTCACTGGCCTAATTTCAGCGACCGAAACAGGCCGACCGTGAGCACTAGCCAGCGTGCGCTCACTCACTCCCCGGCACTCACTGTGTATGATGAGGGCTATTTTTTTTTCTTTACGAGATGCTCTTAATGGCCTCCTATAAGATACCTTCCAGCTGGGGTCGTACGTTTCCATCCGCGGTCTGGCTCAGTAGCCAGAAATTCAGTATTTCCAGCAAGCATCGCTCACTCAGCAACAACAGGGCGCGGCACGATGCATCACCACCCCCTCTGGCGGGTGCCGCTGCCCCCCCATCGGCGGTCCTTACCGTGACTGGCAAGGGTGTGAGTTGCACCTTCGGACCTGGGGCTCCGGACGGCTGGCTGGAGGGCAGTCACTGTCGTTCACCAGTGTCGTCGTCTTGTTCACGATTCGCGTGCAGGACACCGCTTCTGCGTTGCCCTGGAAACCAGAACGCGGGAAGCTGAGAGGCCATTGCTGCACGTGCCTGGCCCGGCCCCTCGTCCGTGCTCGCGTAGGAGCGTTCGGGGGCATCCTTTGATCAGTGTGTCACTTACATGACTGCCGTGATGCCTTATTGGCTGTCAGGGAGTCAGGGAGGGAGAGCCATAACCTTAGTGATGAGGGTGTGTAAGACACGGTAAGAGCAGCAGGAAATGTCTAGAACAGGATTGGAAAGAGGCAACATCTCAGAGCACCTGTGTCCTTATAGCAAGGGATTCACTGAGGCCAAAGTTCTGATTTGGGTCTTTAATTTCCACCGGAGACTGCCGACCTCTTCATCTGTTCGCTTGGTGTTTAAAGCCCGTGGAAGTCCGGCCTCTGTAAATACCCACCCATCAGCCCTCGCGAGAGGTCATGCTGCCTATTATAGAGTCTCCGCTTGCCGGAGAGGAGTGAGAACCAGGGAGGCTGGTCTGGAGGAGACTCGGGGACCTGCGTCCTGCAGGCAGGTGTTTGAGAGCTGGTCTGAGAACTCGTCCAGCCAGCCAGCCGCTACCTATGCCTAAGTATCTATCACCTGCTCCTGGGAACTTGCACTAACCGTTATCCCAGCCGGATGTGACCATTTTCCTGGGTGCTCCCAAAGCACCTGACACACCGCTTGGCCCTGACTTTGTCCAGGAGGCAAATGATTGGGGCTGGGTGGGTGGCCTCTGGAGCCAGGCTGTCTGGGTCCAAGCGTGGCTTGATCATGACCACAGTAAGAGTATTGTCAACCATAAGCCACCATGCTTCTGTGCCTCAGATCCTGCCACTGGGCTGGCTCACTTCCCCTCACTGTGCCTCAGGGTTGAAATGAACTGATACGTATAGCAAGTGCTTAGAGCAGAGCCTGACAGGGGTCGACACTTCATGTTAGCTATATTCCTGTTATTACGATTATCATTCAGGAAGTGTGGCAATAAAAGATTAATAGGACGTCAAGTACAGCTATCTGGCTCCCAGCCTCCTTGCTCGGCCCATCTCCAGGGGGACTGGTCGCGTCGGGCTGACTCGATACTGTGGAGTCCCCGAGCTACGCGGTCAGTGTGACTCCCGCCCACGACCATGGCCGTGCGTTGCACAGAAAGCACGGAGCCAGCTGGAGCCAGATTGCCGCTTTGGCTGCAGGTCTGACAACTGCATCGGGGAGCCGGGAGACACCGGTGTCATAAAAGGATGTCGCCGGGCGGGCGAGCAGCGACAGCCGAACGGCACTCCCCCTGCCCCCTGCTGAGGGGAGCCTGCTCACTGGCCCAGCGGCCCATGCTTAGTTCGCAGAAGTTGCTGGAGAAGAACAGAACAGAGCAGTCAGGGACGTGGGCGCTGGCTGCACTTGGAGGCTGGAGGGCCGTACGCAGAGGGGCAGCTGAGGGACAGGGGGACAGGTGCAGAGTGGAAGGGTGACAGGGCTGACGGTGGAATCCTGAAGCCACGTCATCTGCCATGCGGCCGCTTAAGAGACTGAGAGCAAACCCTGGTGGCGGTCGTCCAAGACGCAAAGACGCGAGAAGGAAGTCACAGCTGCCTCGGCCAGTGTCTGACGGGCCCGACCGCGCTCCCGCTGGAATCCCCGCCCGGCACAAGTGGGACAAGCCACTTAGTGGCACACTCCTTACGCGCCGGACATCTGACTAACGTTCTCATCTCAGCGGACAAGAGCGGCACAGGCCTGGGGGTGCGTGGGGCCGGGCCCTGGCTCCGCCCTGCCGGCCCACGCTCTGGGCTGGCGCTGCGGAGTCCAAGTCATCCTTCCGCCCTAACTCCGTGCCCATCACAACCCTGTGTCCCACCTCCCGTGACCCCACCCTGGGTCCCTTCAAGGCCACAAACTCCACTGTACTGGGGGCTGCTTCAGGCCTTCAGAACAGCTTCCCGTGGCAGCTCCTAAACCGCGCGGTAACGAATGCAGAGCCTTCTGCGCACACTGACTTATGCAGCGTGACAGCCTCTTCCCTGCAGTGGGCCTGAGGGCTGCGCACCCCACTTTAGAGGCGAGGCAATGCAGGTACAGAGAGGGCCACGCATTTGCTCAAACGTGGCAGCGAATCGTGAAGCCAGACTCAACGCTGCACACGTTCCACCGAACTTATAGGACTTGCCCTCCCACGGGAGCCTGTGCTGGGGTCACTGTGGCAAAGAGGAAAGAGCGTATTCGGAGGCAGAAGCATCTTCTCGTGTCCCTCCACCAAGTGGTGACAGATGAAGGTCTCCTCTGTTCCTTCCCCGGGTCCCCTGTCGCACCTGTGGCGTAGCCGGACATGGGCCAACCCCCCACCGCAGACCAGAGTCGGAGAGCCCCGTGTGGGCACAGCTCCAACGCGCAGGATTCTGGCCGCCGCCGCCCAGGCATTCTGCACAATCTGCAGGGGGACGTGGTTACGCTTCCGTGGAAACGCAGGTTTGGTGGCCAGCCTGTCGCGTGGCTTCGCTCCTCCTCCCCGTGGCGAGGCCCCGCCCCCGAGCCCGCCCCCGAGCCCCGCTCACCTCCGCCGCACTGCACGCTGCACTCCTCCCAGCCGCTGTGGGTCCAGAGGAACAGTGCGTCCTGCGGCTTCTCCGGCTCGCTTTGGTTTTCGGCCGTGTGGTTCACGGGGATGGTGTATTCGTAGTGGATTCCGTAATTCTGGTCGTGAAACAGCAACACCTGGATGGGCAGCGGAAGATGAAGCCATTTCTGAAATCTCACCGTAGCTCACTGCAGTTGCTGAATGTGCAAGCAGAGCCGTACTGTGCTGTTCCCTTAGGGGGCGGTGGAGGTGGGGACCAGCTCTTTTCCAGGTTGCAAAACAGGGACGGGTATCATAAATACTGAAGTTGGGACGGGAGTCCGTGCGAGTCACCAGCAGGGAGTTCTGCTTTTCCCTCTGGAGACAGGACGGGTTCGGAGGAGGAATCTGGGGACACGCAAGGGTGTGGGTTCTAACCGCACTTTATGTGGAGCTGCTCCACGCAGAGGAACGTGCCCACAAACTCGGCCACGGCGTTGCCCTCGCAGACAAGGACACCGATATCCTGCTTTTTACCTAGAAGGGCATCTCGGCACGTAGCACCCATCGCTCTACTTCTTTGATAATGAACGTCCCTCTTCCCTGCCCTGGCACCAGTCACTGCTACGTGTAATGCGGGGTCAAAGGCAAACGCTGCCCACCGGGGCGGGGGGACTCATGGACGTCGGCTTGAGAGTCCGAGGATGCATGAGCCTGCCCACTGCAAGGGGGCTAGGAAGAGGAGGATGCCCACGGGGTGGCCGAGACCTGGCTCAGGGCTTAAATCTGGGAGTAAGGGGTGGGATGCCATCCCCCAGCCTGGGGACTGTGGGATCTGAAATCCTGGTGAGTGAGCAGACAGATGGGCCCACTCTTTGGCGATGCGTGTGACAAGCCCTATAAGAACAGAGGTGCTCTGCTGGCTTGATCTCTCTATGCAAAGGGTGCAAATTAATAGCGCAAAACAGGACCTCACGTGGGAGCTTAAATTGGCTTGGCTGTGGGTCCTCCTGGGTCTAAGTAGCAAGTTCACTTCCAGCCCGGTGAGGGGAGGGAGGGCAGGCCAGCAGAAACTAAAGACAGAATGCGCAGGGCCCATTCTGACTCGGGGGAGGCCAGGTGGAAAGTGTGCCAGAAACGGGAGCAATCTCCCCCCACCCCAATCCCAAGCATCTCCCAGCCTGCGGGGGCTTGGGTATTAGGGTGGGGTGGGGTGCTAAGAGCCGCCCGAAGTGCATAAACATCGAATTCTCCAAGAAACAGACTTGCAGCAACGCGTTTGGAAAAATGCCTCCAATTAAAAAAAAACAAAAAAAAAACAAAAAAGAAACCCAAAGCTCTTTAAAAGAGATCTTTATTATCTTAGTATGGGAATAAAACTGGTGAATCGAGAGTCCATATGAAACCAATTTAATGCAGTTTTGCAGCCACGAATAATTTGTGTGCATGTGCATAATTGATTTCAAATGCGGGTCCCTGTAGCTCTACGGATCAGCCTGAGCCTGCAACCAATGCGTCCACCTGGATTGGGGACACTGGAATTCTATTTACAGGCAGAGGGGCACCTCTTGTTTCCAGGTTTGAAAACTTGAAGTAACATTCCTATTTCGAGAGAGAACAGCGATTAACATTAACGAGGGCTGGGACTTCAGCTGTGACAGAGGCTGCTTTCTCTGAAATTTGTTTATTGTGGCCTGAATGAATCCAGGCTGTGCATTTGCTTTAACGGGCTGACGATTCGCTCTCAGGGTATGAAAGCTTTTCAGAGAGATGGAGAATGTACCCAGTTGGCATCTGCTACAGAAAGCGAATGTACGAGCCAACAGGTGATAATACTTGGGTATGGGTTTCATCTTGTCCTCTGCCTCTTCTTTTAGCTCCTCTGCATAACTGCTTTTAAATCAGAAAAGGAGGACTTGTTCTACTGACTTATACTAGGAAACGATCTTATCACAGAGGAATGGCTTGGGTACAGGGTCTTGGGCTCAGAAGTTGACTTGCGATGCTCTATCTGCAGATTTAGTGGGCCGAGTGTTGCAGTGACAGATTCTGACAGTTTACGTCAGGCACAGAACCCGCTCGCTTTGCTCTCATCAGAAATTATAACTACCTAGGGCCACCGTGGGTGACGCTGCACTAGGTGCTGGAGTCATGAGCAGACCTGTCTCCTCAGGAGATTCCTGGGACGTAGCCAAGGAATTCTTTGGGTGTCACCAAACCTCAAATGGCTGCAGGTTGCTGGAAGCCACAATGGGGAAAAAGAACTTGCAAGCGGAGACTTTGCCAAGCACTGAGGACAAAATATGCTTTGATGACAGACGCACAAGCTGCCACACATCTGTTCTTTGGAGGGAGACACAGAATCGATAGTTCTGAGCTATCAGAAGTTAGCCCCGAGGACTCCCGGGTCCACAAACAGTGCAGTTCCTATCCCCGGGGATCTCCGATGACATTAAAGGAGGCACAACCGGATGTTTGCGTGGTTTGTGCGGGGTCCTGGTGGGTGCGACACCGGTGTGCAGACCCGGCCTGACCGCACAGGTTCCACGAGCCCCCCGCCCTGAGAGCAAACGTCCCCACGGAACCTGGTTCTCCCTCCCGATTCCCCAGTGCTTGTTGCAAGCCAGGTCTGGGGAATCTGCGTGATGTTGGTTTGGAGGGAAACCATCAATGGCTCCTTGCCAAAAGGTCACATGCAATGCGGATGTGCAAACTTCGGGGCGGATCTATGCCATCTGATGTGAAAACACGGACTGTGACGGGGGCCAAATGCCTTAGCATCTCCTTCCTGGAGGCGGTTCCTTTTGAAAAAGATGGGAGCTCTGCCAGGGAGATTCTGAAGCATGCCAAAAAAGGGATTAGAGAAGATCAAGAGAGAGACTTGGGCTGCAGGTGGCCAGGTAAACCACCAGGAACCAGGTGCATCCGCCTCCTCCACGGGGCCCCAGGGAAGACGTAAACTGGGGGACCCCTTAGAGCCTTAGTCTCAAGACAAATGCAAAAGCATGGCACGTTACCATCAAGTGCAGTGGAGTTTTGGTCGGTCCCTTAGCAGAAATTTTCTCCCACAGGCCCCTCCGGACGTAGCGCACGATTGTGCCCGCGATCTGGAACTCCCCGGGGAGCTGTATCTTCCAGTCGCTGTTGATGGATCTCTTGCTGGAGTCTCTGAGAGCTGGAAAGAAAACGGCACCCATGGAGTCACGGGGACTCGGTCTCTCTTTAAGGGAATCGGGGTGTCCTGAGTGATGAGTCAGAGGCTCCGTCCTCCCCAGGGATAGGAGGGAGGCCTGAAGAGCGAGCGAGCGAGCTCACTGTGAGCCGAGAACAAGAGCCTGGCCCACAGGGAGCACACAGCCCCAGACCCACAGGCCACACCGAGAGAACCGTCCTGTCAGCCTGCTGCTTTCAGTGGGGGCTGCCTGTCTCAGCATCGGCTCAGAGTGGGGGTCTGGGGAGACGCTGGACGCCAGAGACGACCACAGCCCAGACACGTTCTGCTCACTTCAGAGCACAGGGTTTTCTGCTGGATGAATGGATTCTATTTTAATGTGTCTCGGGCTACAAACAGGTTTTGCTGCTTCAGCAAAACTCATCGAATCATTTCAGTTACTGCCCTGGGCGGCCTGACTCCAGCATCTCTTAAGGCTTTGATAACCTCGTGTTAGTAAAGTGAACGTTCCTTCAAGAAATGAGCGTTAGTCTCAGGAAGTACAAACTGCCAGTTATAAAAATAGTCACAAGGATACGGAGTACAGCGTAGGGAATATAGGCGATAATATTATAATAACTGTGTAGGTGCCAGCCGGGTACTACATTTATTGGGGTGATCACTTTGATTATAATTATGTAATTACATAAACTATATAAATTATATAAATGTCTGATCACATGTCATACACCTGAAACTAATATATTATACGTCAACTGTACTTGAAAAAGAAATTAATTAAAAACAAACAAAAAGAAGTAAGCATTATTCTATTCAATATTAGAGTCCAGGAAGCTGCCCACAGACGTGGCGGTGATGCTTGGCTGGGTGGGGTCCGAGTGTGGGGGCTGCCACAGCCCAGTCCCTGGGCCTCGGGTGTGACCTTGGTTTACTCGCTCCTCCACTCGGTACAAAAGGTGTTGGGAGAGGCAAGGACTCAACGTTTCGCCGAGTGGCCATAAGCAAAAATCTGATTTTTCATACGAGCCACGTACTTCCTATTATCCGAGTGCTCACCAGTGACTCTTTAGGTCTCATCCCTTGAAGGCATGTCATTCCCAGGAGCAGAGCACTCTGCAGAGAAATTGTTATTTCTGTTTTGCTACGTTATTTAGGAAAGAAAAAAAAAACAAACTAGAACCTACTCTGGCACTTAGGAGAAGGTGACGAATGACGAGGTGACAGTCTTTATGTCCCTTCAGAAAATGAACCTCCTAGCACACCCTCACGCCACCCCCACGGCAAGTGAAGCTGGAACCCCCTACGCCCCAAACGCTCACAGTGACTCCGGAAACCTGATCAGCCCACACGCAGCGAAATCGGGTTCGAGTCCATTCTCTACTCGCTGCTTCCCGAGGCCAGCAATCAAGTGGCCGCATTTAATACCGAATTTGGACAATGAGAGGTGAAACCAAAAAGGGGTTTTGGTTAACTTTCGATTTGTGAGCCCCAGGCTGGGTTAAGATCCAGGGGGGCCGGTCCTGGTCAGGCCACAAGCAGCTGGGGGATTGCTGGGCCTCTGCTCCCTTGTCTCTAGGACAGTGTGGTCCCAGGGCTCGCCCCTGCCCAGCCGGGCTCTGAGGGGGACGCACACCCGGGACTCCTGGCTTACAGGAAGTGCCGAGAGTGAGCCGGAGAAGCAGGAAGGGCTGCCTTCCAGCGGAGCCACTTCCTGTGGGGTTCAGACCCAGGGCGGTGCACACTGAGCGGCTGCGGACCGCAGTATGACATCTCCCTTCAAGAAATGCTACCCGCTGTAGGAACTTCAAGGATACTCACGATCGCTGCTTTTTCTCGTCTCTGCTGCCACCGGCAAGCCACCATTTAAGGGGCACGGTGTCCGCTTTTGCTCCTTCCTACACTTCTGCCTGTTTCATCTTCCCCAAACTCTCTAAAGTAAAGGGTTACTGTCGGCCCTCTGTATCCACGGGTTTTATATCCGCGGATTCAACCAACCGTGGATCGAAAACAGCATTTGTGACTCACAGCTGGGAATCCACGGATGTGGGGGGCTGACTATGCACGTTCCATGCCGTTCCGTAAAAGGGACTTGAGTGTCAGCGGATTTTGGTACCTGCGGTCCTGGCAC